AAATTTTAAACTGGACTTCATTGTGGAATGGCAGATCAAAAAAAAACAAAAACACAGTAAGTAAGAGCAGATAAAGAGTGTATTACCCCGGGCACGCGCCCAGGGGCCTGAACATACAAAATCGTGAAAATTGGGGGTAGGCGCTTACCCGAGGACCACTCCAAAAAAGATTTAAAAAAGTTGTTTTTGTGATCGTATGATAAGGTCAAATAAAGGAATGCTTTCGTACACTTTGTACATGTACTTATTTCTTGATTTATGCGAGGTTTCAATAAACGTGAGCACTCGGTCAAAAACTGTGGGAACACTAAGACATAGGGTCGAATTTCAAGAATAAAACTTATTTTATGTCAGCGAATAAAGTTGTATTACTCACTTGTAATCCAAGATGGCGATGACCTCATTAGCATAATTTTGTTCACGCACGTATTGATACATCGCATCGTAATTACTGAAGAATAGCAGACAGGGTTATGAAACAAATAAACCTTTTATTACTGATGTGAAATGTTTACAAACTATTGTGAATACATGCTTAAATGGCGATACATAAAAAACAGACTGAAAATAAACTCTGGTCGACCTCATTAACATGATTTATTCACGCACCCACACACATGACAAAATTATGATGCAACAAGTTCCCATCGTCAGCATGCCTCATTATGGTTATCGTAATAGACTTGAGGTCAGCAAATTGTTTTTTCTTCAACGACAGAAAAATAATCCACATGACCGTAATGCCATAGCTGTGATGAAGGATGGAAAGAAAGTAGCAAGTTTACGACGTGATGTCTCAAAAGTGCTAGCTCCTGTTCACAGTCAGCTGGCACCGGTGTCGCTGGGTGTATATGATAAAGGCACAGTCAGCTGGCGCACACGTGATAATTAAAATAAATACAATATTTACTAAATGGGGGCCGCCGTCTTGAATGACGCATAAAACTAAATAAGAGACAAGTTGTGAAACGCGTTTTTCAGATTCCCAGAAATCAAGACAAAAATACCAATCTTTCACAAAAATACGGTCCGTTTGAGTTATATTAAGCCAACCGATAACAAAATTCGGTCGAATTTGTGGTTTTTATGTGGAAAAATCCCTTGCATACAAACACCTAATTACGCGAAGAACCTAAAACACTAAGCCGGGGTATTTAAAACTAAAAATTGGCATTCCAGCTCAGCAGCCAATCAGCGATGGCTTAGATGACAATTTCGGTTTCAAATACCCCGGCTTAGTGTTCTAATTTCTTCGCGTAATTAGGTGTTTGTATGCAAGAGATTTTTCCACGCAAAAAACGCCGAATTCGGCCGAATTTTGTTATCGGTTGGCTTATTATAACCTCAATCAATGGATCGCAATTTTGTGAAAGATTGGTATTTTTGTCCAGATTTGTAGGAATCTGAAAAACGCGTTTCACAACTTGTCTCTTATTTAGTTTTATGCGTCATTCAAGATGGCGGCCCCCATATAGTAAATATCATATTTATTTTATTATCACGTGTGCGCCAGCTGACTGTGGATAAAGGGAAGTTGTGCAACCAAATTTGCCGAGTTCGCAGTTTTTCGCCAATAAAAAATAACTAAGGCAAAAACTCGCGGTTATTCAGCATTTTTGTAATAAAGACATTATTTTCTATCAATAATCCGCCCAAAACAGGAACATTTCTACTAATTCTTGTGTTTTTGTCGACGTTTTTTGAAAAACCTGCGATTAGGCTGCGAAAGTAGAACATTCCGGAGGGGGTGAAACGGAAGAGCCAAACTCAACGCGTAAAAATAGAACGCGTATTTTGACTTCTACGTGGCCAACCAATGGCTGGACACGGATACGTTTGCGGTCGTTGCCAAAAAGCCCCGCGCCCATCGCCTGGCGATGCTACGTTTTGAAACCAAAGCTAAGTGCTTCAAACCACTCACCAAGGTATGGATTATTGCATAATTGGATTCATCGTGAATGAAGAGAAAGCAGAACGTGTGCGCCACATGCTGCGTGGTTCATCTCACGTCGTTAAGTTTTAATGAGTTTTTACATAAAAACACAAACAAAACGGCCCTTTTCAGGGCCACCACACACTCCCAAAAGAGAACTACCGTAACAAACACACTATTTAAATAAATCAAGCGCGTTCGTTTTTGACAAATAATACTTTATTGTTGACCCCGTTCTTGGCTAAAAATCACCCTCGGCGTTTAACCAAGGATGTCCCCAACATGTAACTTTTGTGAAAACAGGGGGGTGGGCGCTTGCCCAGGGAAGGGTGCGTGCCCGGGGTAATACGGTAGTAATAAATAGATTCAAAGTTGGTCTCAAACGTGACTGGGCTGCAGACCCAAACAAGCACATGTATCATTATGACTTTTCATATTATCTGTTACAAATAATAGCAACTTCCTGTAATTCTGTTTGCAAATACATGAGAAGCATTTCATGTGATGTACTGAAGAGTCTGTGCCAGTCTAAACACATTTTTTGAGGGATTATTGTCTGGAAATTACATGTATTATTATTATTACTCTGGCCTTCCGGTTGATGACTGAAAATGAATTATCGAGCTACAAAAACAATATTTATATGTGAATCATTAAGATTCGTTAGAAATGAACACCCAATTCTTGAGTTATCTCCTGTAAATATTGGCCTTTGTATTTATAGGATGGCTGTGTTACTCGTGTTACCATAGTGTTTGAGTGAAATTTGAGATAGTTGTGTTTAGTTAGCTGAGGTTCATTGCCTATGTCAAGCCATATTTTTTCAATTACTTGTCGTTGGCTTGCCAGCATGGCATGATAGTGACTGACAAGAGAAAATGAAAGACAAAATACAGAAACAAAAGTGTTGATTTGTCCTAAAATGTTTTTTTCCAATGCAATCAGAATTTTGAAAGCCAAAAATTACAAAAGTCTTATAATTATGTGATTTTACAGTACTAACATATTTCTAAAGAAACATTTCACACCAAAATTGATGCTGATCATGATTCCATTAATGATTAACAATTATATTTCTTCAACAGATGTAAGGTATTTACTCCCTGCAGAAGTCACTAAATATGAACACTTCAAAACACAAAAGTACAGAACAGAAGAAAAACTATTTGGAGAAATAGGTAAGACATGTGACCTATTTATTGAAACATCATGTGAATACTTCTGAAAGCAGAAACTATAATTCAAGTTGCTTTTTGGAGTTAAAATACTAACATTAGTCTGAGACGAAAATGTGGCAGTTCATAGTGGACTGCATGCACCTTGTAATCATAGTTGGCTGTGTTCTTTTTGTTATCCGAAATGGCTGCATGCACCTTGTTCTACAAGATGCTTGCATGTCCCTTTGTTATCCGAAATGGCTACATGCACCTTGTTCTCCAAGATGGTTGCATGTCCCTTTGTTATCCGAAATGGCTGCATGCACCTTGTTCTCCAAGATGGCTGCATGTCCCTTTGTTATCCAAAATGGCTGCATGTCCCTTTGTTATCCAAAATGGCTGCATGCACCTTGTTCTCCAAGATGGTTGCATGTCCCTTTGTTATCCAAAATGGCTGCATGCACCTTGTTCTCCAAGATGGTTGCATGTCCCTTTGTTATCGAAATGGCTGCATGCACCTTGTTCTCCAAGATGGTTGCATGTCCCTTTGTTATCCAAAATGGCTGCATGCCTCCTCGTTATCCAAGATGGCTGCATGTCTCCTTGTTATCCAAGATGGCTGCATGTCTCCTTGTTATCCAAGATGGCTGCATGTTTTCTTGTTATACAAGATGGCTGCATGTCTCCTCGTTATCCAAGATGGCTGCATGTCTCCTTGTTATCCAAGATGGCTGCATGTCTCCTCGTTATCCAAGATGGCTGCATGTTCTCTTGTTATACAAGATGCCTGCATGTCTCCTTGTTAGTCCCTGTTTGGACAAAATCTGAAAACGGGGACTTATAATTCGGTCTCTGTTTGGTTCATTATTTGTATGTGCCCAGTATTTTATGTGGGACATATGCACATGCAGTGGTTCAGCGATTCAATTCAAAATGGCCGATTGGCAGCCATCTTGTTTTTTGAAAATGTTGTATTTTTGACATGCTTTGTCAGTTTTCATTTAAATTTGGTACATAGATTATACACGTTAGGATACATGTCCACTGACCGTCCTTGTATCCGTCTTTCCGTCCATCCGTCTGAGCGTCCAGAGTCATATTTCAGATTTCTTTTGATCAATTCTATTCATTCTTTGCATGTGCATAGAACTTTAGCGATTCGATTCAAAATGGCCAACTGGCAGCCATCTTGTTTTTTGAAAATGTTGTATTTTGGACATACTTTGGTACATAGATTATACATGTTAGGATACATGTCCATGACAATTTCTATCGCAATTGGATAAAAGATGGCCGACTGGCAGCCATCTTGTTTTTTTAAATGTGGTATCTTGGACATGCTTTGTCAGTTTTCATTCAAATTTGGCACGTACTTTATACATGTTAGGATACATGTCCGTGGCAATTTGTTTCAAAATCGGATCAAGGATGGCCGATTGACAGCCATCTGACTTTTTGGCACATACATCATACATGTCACTTTGTTTCATAATCAGATCAAAGATGGCCGAATAACGGCTGTTTTGTTTTTAGCCATAGTACTATATCTCTGTCACCCATGTATCATTTTTATTGATATTTAGCATGTCATAAATGGATACATGAACATGTCAATTCAATTTGCAATTTGATCAAATATGGCCGCCACGCGGCCATCTTGTTTGTTTGAAATGTAATAACTTGGACATGCTTTCACTTGTGATCTATTTTTTGGTCATCATGCAACATGTGTTCGAATTTGATGTGAATAAACAATCTGTTGTATACGCCATTTTGGACTCAAGTTTCAAGGACACGCTTGCGACAACCCCTCCACTTTAATATGACGAGCACAAAGAGAACTTTCAAAAATTTAACGGGGACTGTGTCTTTTTTAATGACTTGTCATCCAAGATTCCTGCATGTTCTTTCTGATACACTTCTTACCGATCATGAGCTCAATCCAACAACTCTGAGACATTCTCTCCCTTCTCTGCAGTTGTAATCTCATATTGATTCATTTTATTCAGATACTTTTCACAAAGCAATGGACAAAAAAGTGAAGAGAGACGACGTGATATTTACTGATGAGTTGAAAGTTATGCTTCATACGTGTAATAGTGCAGAAGATGCGGAATTAGCAATTCAAATAATGAAGATGTAAGTATTGCCAGCCATCCTCATGCTGCCATCTTGCTATTTATCTTGCTTGATATTATTAGGTGCCACTTTGATTGAACAAAACCTGGATGTGGTGGCATTGTAGTTATCATGCTGAATACTGCTCCCAACCTTTAATTATAATTATAGATTACTAAATCTGGATGTGAATGATGTAGTTGACAATGCATTGTTAGAAAAACCTATAAATTTTCTACTTTTTGAAAACTATCAGTCTGATTGGTTTGATACTTGGCATGTAGGGTACATTAAGTGGCTTCCTATAAATTTGTTTTGACAATAACTTTTTAGCAAATTTTTTTGTCATTTTTCATAAGAAAATGATATTATCAACTTTTCTTGAAACCAACAAAAGTGGCAGACATTTTTCTTTTGATACTTTCATGGTCTTTTGAGATTTGTAAAATTATTAATATTATTTTTAATTTTTTTACATGTAGTCTGGTAGGTTGATTTACAAAGCAATGATACTTGAAAAAAGCACAGGATACTCCAATAGTCAACTCAAATACAGGAGACATAATCTGCACAGTACCTGTACATGAGTTAGTTATTTTACTATTGTGGACAGCAGTGCCCACCTAAAGACTCAAACCTTGATTAAATTGTAAATGTAATTATTATACATCTGTAATTAAATGTAATTTTTACCGTCCATAAAATGCCATACAGACGTGTCCGAAAGTGTTACGTGCGCACTTGAATGTCTTCTTTAATTGGAAATTGTGCATCATATTTTAACACTTTCCTTTGTTTACTTCAAATAGAGCAGTGCTTCTATCACATGATAGAAATAGAATCCTGTCACTGAACACAAACATGCACACAGTGCGAAATACTATATGTTGTAATTTTGAACTGTTGAGACGTAGTTCAAAAATGGGGACTTATATTTTGTGCATGTATTCATGATTGACCTGGTTAGTTGAATAGAGTTCTGGTTGGTTGGGTGGATGGTTAATGTCCATCCAATGTAGAGGTTATGCCATTTACAGTGACTTTTATAACTAACAAACATATTTTCTTTTTCTGACAGGTATCACAGCAAAATCCGTAATGCTCCTTTTCAGCAGTTTCGCTTTGGTTCAATTGTTATGAGAATGTTTCATAATTTGCAACTATGTGATAAAATGTTAGATCTTCTAAAAGATAAGGTATTGCACTTTTCTTATTATGTACAATGTTCTTCTGGGTTGTAAACAAAATTTAATATTTGTAGAATAAGTTATAATGTATCATATCAACATAACAGTTATGTGCATGTATGTCTGGGTGTACAAATGTATGTCTGGGTGTACAAATGTATGTGTGGGTATACAAATGTATATCTGGGTGTACAAATGTATGTCTGGGTGTACAAATGTATGTCTGGGTATACAAATGTATGTCTGGGTGTACAAATGTATGTCTGGGTGTACAAATGTATGTCTGGGTGTACAAATGTATGTCTGGGTATACCAAATGTATGTCTGGGTGTACAATTGTATGTCTGGGTGTACAAATGTATGTCTGGGTGTACAAATGTATGTCTGGGTATACAAATGTATGTCTGGGTGTACAAATGTATGTCTGGGTATACAAATGTATGTCTGGGTGTACAAATGATCTGGGCATATAGGTATGCAGGGGTTCATTCAGACAGGAATAGGGGTGCAGCTCCCTCATACCTCAGACTTGTACCCTCTTACAGATATGCTCAACAGTTTATGTAGTCTTAGTTTCTGAGGTTTCAGGTCCTATAATTACTTTCTTTAGAAGTGTGCTCCTTCTTAAAATTTTGTTTGCAGAAAACCCCCTGGTATGTATGAATATATAGATATGGATGGTTATACATAGATGTATGTTGGTATTCAGTATATAGTTATGTCTCGATATACATATGTTTTGGTATATGAACACATACTGTGTGGTATGTCTGAGAATATGAGATACAATGAGAAAGATGTATGTTGGTATGCAGTATATAGTTATGTCTTGATATACATATGTTTTGGTATATGAACACATACTGTGTGGTATGTCTGAGAATATGAGATACAATGAGAAAGATGTATGTTGGTATGCAGTATATAGTTATGTCTTGATATACATATGTTTTGGTATATGAACACATACTGTGTGGTATGTCTGAGAATATGAGATACAATGAGAAAGATGTATGTTGGTATGCAGTATATAGTTATGTCTCGATATACATATGTTTTGGTATATGCATACATACTGTGTGGTATGTCTGAGAATATGAGATACAATGTGAAATATGTAACAAACATAATGTCTATTTACTTAATTTTATGTCTGCAGGAACTCCAAGGATTTTTCAGTGATTCCACATCTTTCATTCTAGCCATGGATGCTTATTTTGAATCAGAACAATACAACAGTAAGTTTAATTATGTTAGGAACTGTCGATCATTAATGAGGGGAGGGGGGTCAGCAACAGTAAATTTGTCGTATTTATTCACGCCCATTATTGTACATACATAGTTATCAGTTTTGTGCTATGTACTGCATTGTTTATGAAAGAAAATCTGAGAAGAACCATACTCTCACTCACCACTCATTTTTCAGAGGTTTTAGAAGTTTATAAAGAAATGGAATTACAAAATATAATGAAACTGAAAGATGCTTACACATTGACGCTTGCTGCTTGTTATCGATTGGTATGTTCTCATGTCAATATTAATATTAAATCATCAGGACAAGTTTTCTGTTATATGTATGTATTATCTACCCTATCCTAAATGTGCTACATGGTGATTAATACTCCCCATTGGACGTGGTTCAAAACCAAGGACTTATGCTTTGGGTTCCCTCTGTCCATTTGTCCATCCATCTTTCCCGTTGTTTGTCATTTTTTCTCAGACATATGTTGACAGATTTTGTTAAAAGATGAGTCGTAATAGATTACATATGCATGTTATTTTTTTTTTCATTTGGTTGACCTTTAACTGGCTAGTGACCCATTTTGTTAAAAAACAAAAAACAAAAACAAAAATCAACATTTGGTCGTATTTCTCAGGCATTGGGGTATAGCAAAAAGTGATGTTTTGTGAAATGCGATAGAATGTAAGTAAATATTAGTTCAAGAATACATATATTTAGCTAAATATAAAATAATGTTAGTATCTGTACTTGAAAGTAAATATGTAAATAGATTTCTACTGTTTTTCATCATTGATGAAATTTTGATTTTGTTAAAGAATTTTCATTCAGTATCATATTTCCGACAAGCCGATAGAAAGTGTTCCTCATCTGATCCAGTATTTGGAACAGTAAATTTGATTGCCCTATCAAGCAGAAATCACAGCTGCCTATATTTTATTTAAATCTGCCCTGTATTGCTTGGACAGAATGTTTCGAAACCATCATTGCTTGATTATCATGCATGTGTAATTCATTAATTTCAGAATACAACAGAGTCATATGACTTGTCACAAACAATACTGGAAGAATGCCAGATAAGAGACAAAGGTATGACCAGATTGGGATACAACTTTGCCGCAGCACTAGCCATCAATCAAGTAAGATGGTTTTCAACATATTTAATTTAAATGCCTTGTTTTTGTTTAACTGACATATCTCGTGGTTTAACTGACATATCTCGTGGTTTAACTGACATATCTCGTGGTTTAACTGACATATCTTTTTGTTTAATTGACATATCTTTGTTATTTATTTGTAGAATAATGCCGAAAGAGCACTGACAATACTGTCTTTTGTACGGAATGCTGACCATGAAATCTGTCGAAGTTTACAGGTAATAAAAATAATAATAATTTAAAAATAAATTCATTGATAAATTACTCATAAGAGTTTTATCTACAGTAAACCACTTTAATTTCAGAAAAAACAAATGAAAATCATAGAACAAATCACAAAAATTTCTAGCAGTGAAAATTGCTAATTGCATTGAACACCACATGTAAATGCAAATCATTGGACAAATGTTATCATGCATTACTGTTGAATCTTGTCACGACAGGTTCCCTTTTTCATCACAAATTCACAAAATAGTCCCGTTTATAGTCTGTTCTGTCCGTTAAAAGATTGGTACAAAAATAGCCATATTTTTTTAGTAAAAACTGAAAATTTACTTAAATTGTGTCTGTCGAATCCAAAATTATGGTTCATTTCCAGAAATATTGAAGAATATAAATAGAAAGTGCTAAAAAATTTGGGCAAGAAAGTCTGGTGGTGAAAAGGTTAATCTTATAGAAACATACTAGGTGATGTCAACTACTGAGTGAGAGCATGCAATACAATTTGTTTTACTTGCAGGTGATTGGATTAACAATGTTAGAAAGATACACTGAAGCCTTCCAGTCATTGCAGAGTATATACAACAGAGATGTTCCTGTTTTTGTGCAGAAATGGAAAATTTGTCAGGAGGCTGTGAGTTGAATAGTAAACTTTAAAGTGGGGGAGTCACTGTGAGCATGCAGGATTACTGGGTTCTGATTGGCTGTGAGTTGAATTGTATACAATACATGCAGGATTACTGGGTTCTGATTGGCTGCAAGTTGAATGCACTGGGGGAGTCGCTCTGAGCTGTGACTTTAATTTAAAAAAAAATGTGTGCAGGTTTAATTTTTTTCTGATTGACTGTGACTTAAATTGTATACAATACATGCAGGGTTACTGGGTTCTGATTGGCTGTGAGTTGAATTGTATACAATGCATGCAGGGTTACTGGGTTCTGATTGGCTGTGAGTTGTATTGTATACAATGCATGCAGGGTTACTAGATTCTGATTGGCTATGACTTAAATTGTATACAATGCATGAAGGGTTACTGGGTTCTGATTGACTGTGACTTGAATTGTATACAATGCATGCAGGGTTACTGGGTTCTGATTTGCTATGACTTAAATTGTATACAATGCATGAAGGGTTACTGGGTTCTGATTGACTGTGACTTAAATTGTATACAATGCATGCAGGGTTACTGGATTCTGATTGGCTCTGACTTAAATTGTATACAACGCATGCAGGGTTACTGGATTCTGATTGGCTATGACTTGAATTGTATACATGCATGCAGGATTACTGGGTTCTGATTGGCTGCAAGTTGAATTTTAACAATGCATGCAGGGTTACTGGGTTCTGATTGGCTATGACTTGAATTGTATACAATTCATGCAGGGTTACTGGGTTCTGATTGGCTGCAAGTTGAATTTTAACAATGTATGCAGGGTTACTGGGTTCTGATTGGCTGCAAGTTGAATTTTAACAATGCATGCAAGGTTACTGGGTTCTGATTGGCTGCAAATTGAATTTTAACAATGCATGCAGGGTTACTGGGTTCTGATTGGCTGCAAATTGAATTTTAACAATGCATGCAGGATTAATAGGTTCTGATTGGCTGCAAATTGAATTTTAACAATGCATGCAGGGTTACTGGGTTCTGATTGGCTATGACTTGAATTGTATACGATGCATGCAGGGTTACTAGGTTCTGATTGGCTGCAAATTGAATTTTAACATTGCATGCAGGGTTACTGGGTTCTGATTGGCTGCAAGTTGAATTTTAACAATGCATGCAGGATTACTGGGTTCTGATTGGCTGCAAGTTGAATGCACTGGGGGAGTCACTGTGAGCGTGCAGGGTTAATGGGTTCTGATTGGCTGCAAGTTGAATGCCCTGAGGAAGTCGCTCTGAGCTGTGACTTTAATTTTTTTAAAAATGTGTGCAGGTTTAATTTTTACCTTGCCCGTACCATCAAAGATGGAAGGGAAAGGTATATTAAGGGAAAGATTTTGTCCGGCGTTGTCGTCGTCGTCGTTGTCGTCGTTAATAATTGTTATTGTGTGCATGATAACTTTACTAATTCTATTCCAAACTTCATCAAACTTG